AAGTACAAAGCTGTGCAACCATTCCGTGCTGCAGTGTCCTTGTCAGCTTTTGCTTTCAGCAGCTCTCGCACTACTTCCACATGACCATTTTGGCTTGCCCAGTGCACAGCCGTCGAGCCATCTTGTGCCGCCGCATGCTTGTCCACTCCAGCTCGGAGCAACTCCTGCACCACTGCCAAGTGCCCATTGTCACTTGCCAAGTGCAGTGCTGTCCAGCTATTTGCCTGTGTCGTAGCATTCTTGTCAGCTCCTGCCTCTAAAAGCTCGTGTACCACTTCGCAGTGCCCTCTCACACTGCCCCAGTGCAATGCCGTGGAGCCATCTTGCGTGGAAGCATCTTTTTGAGCACCAGCTTCTAGTAACTCGCGCACTACATCCACATGCCCATTCAGACTTGCAAAATGCAAGCCCGTGAAGCCATCTTTTGTAGCATCATCTTTATCCGCTCCTGCCTCAACCAACTTTTGCACCACTTCCAAGTGGCCATTTCGAGCTGCAACATCAAGGGCTGATTGGTTGTTATGTGGGTCTCGTGTGTTTGGGTTATGTGGGGACTGAAGCAAAGTCTCAACTTCGCCCAATCGACCCTCTTCACATGCTGAAACAAATGCGCGATCTGTGGCCGGTTCAGCATCTTTAAATTCCAAAACCACCAGCTGTAGATCTATTTGTGGTGTAAAAGGAGCATCGTCGTGCAATTCGATACCATCTTCCCTGAAGAGTCTTTGTCGAAATCTGGAAAATCCCGTTGCAGCTGCCAGGTACTCCTTCAGTGCCTTCACCGGTTTGTCGCTTTGAATAATCGGATCTAACTCATCTTCTTGAATTTCAGCAACTACTGTTCCTGACAAGATCCGGACTTGCAGCATGGGCTGCAACACATTAAAAAAAATAAACTCAGCCTTTGTGAGCTTGCCAAACAATCTTGAGCCATAAGGTTGATGCAAAGGACTTGCCACGGCCATCTTTTGATTATGACGAAGTAGTTCCTTAGATTTGTGATTGTATAGTCCTTTGTAAGCTTTTGCCACAACATGCAACAAAGTAGCAATGTCACGATCGAAGGAAGTTCACAAAAAAGAACCAATGACTTCTTCCTGTAGACATGAAAAAATCATGAAGAGGCAGTTGGTTGACAACCCCACAGGCTGGTCCAATGCTCAAAGACCATGAACCCACCAAGAACTTCTAAATGCCCACAACCCACAGATGCCCCATAGGTATTCCTTGAACTATCTTTCTCGGCAGGCTTAAGTAGCGCGCAAAAGGTGGGTGACACCAAATGGTTTAAGGGCATTACTACTAGTAGCAAGGACGCTACTAGTAGCTCCTGGCCTTACTACTAGGAACAAGAAGCTACTAGGGGCTCCTAAGGGCATCGCTATGGTGAAATCGCATGTTTACGCCAAGTGCTGCCGACACTCCCACTGAAACTTACCGAGTTTCGGGCTCCGGGTGTTGGTGAGCTGCTGTACCAGTTCGTTTTGCCGCTGGTCAAACCTCACGCTCCCCGTACTCTTCTTGGCTGGAAGAGTGAGAAATCCAATCAGTGGACCATTTGGAACATAGATCAAATTAGCCCTACATGATATATGATTCCGAGAAAAAAACTGTCATACTATAATTATGCAAGTCCTTTTCGTACAAAACCTATTCACTCTGATCTGTGTTTGTGAAAAAAGGCAACCACATGCGTCTTCTGAAGTGGATCGAAACAGCTGTGGCTCACACTTAGTGGTGAGCGTTTGCTTCAACTTCTCCAGTTGCGCGGGATGCTTTGCCTCGACGAAGTTCACATGGCCACCATTCCCGTGATTTGTCAGGAACTGCATGACCAAGAGCATATTCCAATAAGAAATCTTCGCGAGTCGGTCTTACACCTTATGGATCCTGGATCCTTGTGAGAATCCTTATATGAACCCATGATTCCGACGCAGCTAATTACACCCAAATCACCTCACACGTACGTAACAGCCCGGTGCCACCCAACAAGGTACGCTTAGATGCCCTCTCCACCCCGCCTTGAGCTCTGCGGCCTCGTCCCGGATGCGCTGCAGGTCGGCCTCGCACTTCGCCGTCTTCTCCTCGTCCCGTCGTCTTGGCCATGAGACGCATAGCAACGCTTTCGTTTCGTGTTTGAGTTTTCAATTGCATCCTAGAGGTTGGGGAGGCTGGAGCCCACCAAGTCTCGGATCACAAAAAGCCTCAGACCAGGCCATTCCTATATTTAGAAGGTTCAAAGTACAGGAATGCCACCGATAAAATTCGAGGCACATTTTCTATCAGCAACAATTCCCGTTTGGTGCTGGT